AGGTACAGCGCTCTCCTGCAAGAAGCAGAGCTCCAGTCTGACTATGACCTGATGGTTGATAGTGTCAAGACCACAGCTCTTCGAATACTTCCGAAGAAAAAGAAGAAGAAAAAGGGAAACCCATATAACGACCCTAATATTGCACACCATCGCAATATTCTCAAGACTGCATCTCTGGGTCATAGGACTTCTCCCTCCTTCTCATCTAAAGAAAAGCTCGAAGACGCCAAGAAGCAGCTGGACGAAGCATACAACACCGCTACTGCACAGTCTGTCCAACAACAGACTGCATGTCTGGAGCAGACTAACCCTGAGCACAGGCATCGGAGCTCTTGGCGCATCATCAGAGAGCTAACGTCTCCTAACACCGTGCCCTATAGTAAAATGCCTGGGGGCACCACCGAACAGCGGCTCAACGTTTGGTTTGAGCACTTCAAGTCGCTCCTCGGGACAGAGCAGCCACCCCCTGACCTCTCCTTGCCCTTCTACAACCAGAGAGTCTCGGACACCCTTCCCATTAGCTGTCTTCCTTTCTCCATGTCCGAACTCGATTCAGTCCTCAAGTCCATCAAGTCCTCCAAGTCACCAGGTCTAGATAGCATCCCTCCCTCAGTTTGGAAGCTTCCCCAACTTCGTGACGACCTCCTCAGTTTCTGCAACAGGGCCTTAATTGATGGAGTAATCCCTGAAGCCTGGACAACGGCATCTATTATACCCATCCCCAAGAAAGGCGACCTGACCAACCCCGGGAACTATCGAGGTATCTCATTGGCTCCGGTTGCAGCGAAAGTTTTCAACAAACTCATCCTCAACCGGATTTACCCATACCTGGATCCCCTACTGCGGCCAAACCAAAATGGCTTCCGCAGAGGAAGATCTACCCTCCCTCAGATACTTGCCCTACGACGCATCCTAGAAGAGTGTAAAATCGGAAATCGATCAGCAGCTATCGTGTTCGTCGACTTTTCGAAAGCATTCGACAGTATCAACAGGGATGCCTTGTTTCACATCCTCTCCCTCTACGGCGTCCCTGCTCCCATAACTGATGCTATCAGGCTCCTGTATGACTCATCGCACTCCAGAGTCAAAACCATTGACGGCCTTACAGACTTCTTTAGAACACTCATCGGGGTCCTTCAGGGTGATACACTCGCTCCTTTCCTCTTCATCATCGTCCTCGATTATGTCCTTAGGAACTGCATGACTCTTGACCATGGCCTAACCATCATCCCCAGGCAAAGTCGGAGAGTACCTGCGGTCAGAGTCACAGATCTTGACTTCGCTGACGACCTGGCCTTGACTGCCGATACCATAGAGCAAGTCCAGCAACTGCTCTCGGATTTAGAGACTGCAGCAGCACATGTCGGACTTGCGATGAATGCTTCCAAGACCGAATACATGACCATCAACATTCCTGATGCTGCCCCCGTGAACTCAATATCCGGTTACCAGATCAAGCAGGTTGATGACTTCAAATACTTGGGCTCATATATTGCAGAGAGCAGGAAGGACTTCAACACCAGGAAAGGCATGGCTTGGTCAGCCTGTATCAAACTGCAGAAGGTATGGACCTCTGGCATTTCTGACCAGCTGAAAGTCAAGTTCTTCAGAGCATGCATCGAACCTGTTCTGCTGTATGGCTCAGAAACCTGGACCTTGAACAAGCAGTTTGAGAAGCGTCTCGACGGGTGCTACACCAGGCTCCTAATGAAAGCCAGGAATCTTTCATGGAAGAAGCATCCAACCCTAAAGCAAATCTATGGTGACCTCCCTTCCATCTCCACCATCGTTGCACAGAGACGTGCCAGATTTGCTGGGCATTGCATGAGAGCTTCAGACCAGGTCATCTCTACCATCCTTCCTTGGCGGCTGCCACAGTTCAGGCGTGGGAGGAGACCACTCTCTTTTCTTGACACCGTAGCCAGGGACACAGGGTTGCGGGTAGAAGATCTCCGAACAGTTATGTGCGACAGAACCATCTGGAGACGTAGAGTGGAGGAGATTTCGATCGAGCATCGCCCAAAGTAAAAAAAAAAAAGTAAGTATTGTAATTAGTTATGAAACTCTAATATTGTGTGGTTAACGTTTTTCAGGTTCAGCCCTTTCCGCTAAGCTATTCCTAATTACAAAAATATGCCGAGATTTACTGAACTCCAACTTCAAATATTGATGATTTTAGTATTCCCCAATCTAAAAAGGTTCGAAGTTTTTCTGCAAAGCATTTTTATCCACGTTTCATGCAATTCGATCACTTTTGGCGGAAAATTTTTTTTTCAAATTTTCGAAATTTTTCGAAGTCTCGAAAAAAATTTGTAAGTGAAAAAGTTTTGAAGTTTTTCTAAAAACTACATTTCTCCGTGTTTCAAACGATTTTAATCATTTTGAGCCAATAAACATTTTTCACTTTTTTTGGTAATTAACTAATTGGTAATTATCCAATTAGCTGATTGTCCAATGTAAAAATTTTTCTTATAAAAGTTTTACTCCTTGATAAGATAAACATTCTAGGTTAATTTCCAGCCTTCTACGACGTTCACAACTAAAGATATTTGGCAAACCAGAAAGGTGGTACTAAGGTGGTAAAAAGTGGTAAAAAGTGGTGTTTCTGTCGAGATACAAAATTGGTGACAAGTCTAATTATGTTCGTAGGGGTTCTAACTACCATATTCCGTTGCTAAATCCTTGTGAACATTTAAATCCAACGGAATGCCACTTTTCCCCTTACTAAAAGCCATCTGTTCAAGAGTATGTGCGGGCTATCAAAGAGCAGCAAGTCATAACTGACTTTCACATCGACATCCACGATATCTGTTCTTTCTACTCAACATACTCTAGCAAGATCGAGTATTTGTTTACTGTAGCCTCAATGTTTGGGCACGATATTTAGAAAACTATAATTGATGTATTCAGTATTCAGTATTCAGTATTCAGTATTCAGTATTCAGTATTCAGTATTCAGTATTCAGTATTCAGTATTCAGTATTCAGTATTCAGTATTCAATAAATTTGATTAATTATCCTACGAAAAATGTGTATTGACTTGCTAATTTAAATCAAAAGTAAGGGGTAAAACTGGGCTAGATGTAGGGTAGAGTTCACATGTTCTGTAAATCGTAGTTGGTGGATCACATCACTAATTATACGTCACATCACTAATTATACGTCATATGATCTGACCCCTAATAATAGAGGGGGCCTGGAAGTCGTGCAGCCGCGCCGCTAGCCTCAACCGTTATGGAATCGTGCAGAGAACCCAATTACGGTGTCGTAATTGGGTAATCATTGAGTACCCAATCAATTTAGCTAACGAGATAAACAGTCTGCTTGATAACTTCGTCATTTTAAATCCGTTTCGCACCATCTTTTCAGATTATATTCCGGATTAAATGACCTATTACAATATGTTAGAACGGAGTCTATAACATGTTCACATACACGAGTATAAGCAATTCAACGTTGATTGGATGTGGCCCCACCCCCCCCCCCCCCCCCCCCCAAATCGAATTTTCATACTGTACCTCGAACAAGTAGGTACAGTATGCCATCTGCAAAGCAACAACTCTCAATAAAACATGGCAGTGGTATGAGACCCAACGTATGGGTACTGACGTTTGCCCCCCCCCCCCCCTCCTGTAGATGTATGCGATGAGTGTATGTATAATGTATATCGACGGGAGGCTATAAAGCCCCGTAATTACTTCTACACATAATGAGAGGCCGTAAATACAGAGAAGTAGACATTTTGTGAGAGCAAATACACGGAGAGGAATACGTCGGCCGCTGGACAAAGACCAGAGTCCTGAGTCGCTAAAGATGAACTCTTGCACTGACTTCCAATGGTTGGATCTCAGAATTCATCCTGACCGGCTCGTATCCGAACTACAACATGGACAATGCCGAAAACAACGAGTCGTCAACTATGTAATGCTTTGAATTTGAAAATAAAAGAACTCCGTAAAATGCTATGCTCAGTCCATAAGGAGGATAATCAAGAGATGGACGATATACCATATATTTTTATTGGGCGACTCCTGTCTCCTGTCCGACTCCGAAGTTAGGTTTTTCAATTTTCGTACAATAGTTTATGGTGGATCCTACCATACGATTTTCTTGAAACGTTCCATTAAGTATGATGGTTGTAGGACGGATAATCTGTGTAAGTTTGGGCAAATGTCTATATGCCAACGTTGAGATATCACCTTAAACACAAAACAATATCTCCAAATCGGTGGTTTCCAGTGGTACCAAGGCATGTATCTGGAGATCAAACTATACCATTTTCTTGAAACTTTCCAGATAATAAGATAGCTTTAAGACAAAAAATCTGTGCAAGTTTGGGTTAATTTCAAATTTAAGACATCGCTTCAAACACAAAAAAAATAGTGCTGTCGGATAGGAGTCGTGTTACCCCCCAGATTCCTCAAGACCTAATTTCAAATATCAGTAAAATATATATAATGCTACGATTAAGCCGTAGACTATGATATTCACCATGCCTACATGCGTACAATACAACGGCGAGAAGAAATGATTTATGGGCGTTGAGCGGAAGAACAAAAGAGTCAGCATGCAGGTTGCAGCATTTGCATAAAGGAATAATATGCAGGGATTAGGAAAACGTATATATCTACTCACGGAAAACAAGCGGACCGAAACATTGGCGTAACAGACATTGTAGCTATGCTGGGAAATCAATGATCATTATCGTATTAAAAATGGTGCAGCATAAACAATGCAGATATAGTCTGTTAGATTTTAAACAATGAACATTACGGAGACTTTTCTTTATAGGCTACTGGCTAATATGGCATAATAAATAAAAGCATTCGAATCACACCAAAGCACAAAATGCTAGCTAGTTTCGAATTGTTCTTTAGAATCATTACAGATATGAAATTTAGCAAGCAAATTGATGTGTAAAATTGTGAATTCGAACTTAACGGGCGGGCTCAGTTTGCATGGAGTAAAAGTTTCTTCATTTTTAAAACAATGAGACAGTGTTTAAGATTGTAAAATAAATATTAAAAAACAATCTGATAAAACGCAGCAGCGAAATAAATTCTGGAGTCCATCAGTTGGTCATGACAGTGTAAAATATATATTTCTCAAGAGTCCATCTGTTTAGAACCTAGGTCTCATACCAGGGGGTCCCATGCCCATGGGTGGCATTCTGGGTGGACCACCGTATCCAGGAGGACCGAATCTGTTAGGAGCCATCATAGCGGGACTGGGACCACCAACTCCCTGCATGGGACCTTGCAGACCAGGTGCGCCAGGTTGAGGGGGCATGCCCCGACCTGCTGCTTTAGCAGCTCCCATGTTAGCTTGTGCTCCTCGGGGAGCGGCTCTTTGGCGGGTGTTTTGTGGGGGTGGACCTGAAATTAGAGTTAGAATCAAACCAAATATAGTAAAAACCCAATATAATAAAAAAAGAAAATCCTATACATCATCAATTATTTAAACAATCGTCCTGTCAGTACGATGAGCATTGGTGGGGGGGGGGGGGGAGTCAACCCCATCGAGACCCATTTGACCAAAAGTTGAGGAATACATGGGCAAAATAGCATAATTTTCATCATTTTACGGTCACCATACTCTATTTAGGTAAAATGTAGCTGTACTCGCTAATTAGAGGATGACAAACACAGTGGTGACGTTTTAAGGCCCCCCCCCCCCCCCAGTATTCTTGAGTCTCTAGACACGGCAAGATAATGGCCACCTTCAAAAAATGTGTGCTCTGTAAATGAAATTGAACATCTGTTACACTAAAATTGCAATAGATAACTGGATATGATCAAGCCGGGAGTAAAACACAATAGAGCGATTGCAAGATTCAGACGATATATCGTGAAAAGAGATCAAAGAATGATGAAGTTTACTATCTAAACTTGAAGTTTAAGAAATTTTACCTTCAACAGTCATTGACACGAGATTTTCTCCTCTTAAAAGAACGAGCCAAGGGCTCTCTTCTCTTCCTTATCTCCAGTTTTGGCTGTCTTCTGTCTAATTTTCCTGAACTCTTCGCAATCTCCGAGAACAAGGTTCATGTGTTTATCGAAAGCAAGAAACGAGCCAACAAACTGTCTACCATCTTGCAATGACACTCTCGTGCGGTAGTTGAGGTGCTGTTGGATTTTGGATGATCTGCCGGCAGGCATGGCGGCAACAAAAAGTATAAGTCAAACGACAAAGGAGCGATGATAAATAACATTTCCGGCGCGAAGTCAAATTAGTGAACATTTTCCAACGCGAAAATATTTTGAAGCATTGTAAAAGCTGTCGTAAAAATCTATTGCGCGGCGCCCATTCTGCGTTGAATACATCATACATACTGCATACATATCGTAATTTTGTTAAACATTAAAGATTAGGAATGCAATTTGTTTCATAAAGAAGTAAGAAACGTAAGTTTACTAAATAGTTCGAGCGACGGTCTTGGAAAATATCTGGAACTAATATTTTACGTGATTATTATCCGTTAAATGCTTTTCCGAATACTACATATTAGTAGTTAAGTAGTAAAACAGCTAATAACTTGTTATATATATGATATATACGTTGTATGACATGACCCGCGGCGCGGCGCACGAGTGCGCGGCTCCCCCTGTATCGTAGAAATTAAACTATACCATATACAGGGTGAAACGACTGTGGGGGTCACTTGCATCACGTGGTGACCCCCACTGTCGCTTCACTATACTGTATCGTCTTCGACGATACAGGGGGAGCCGCGCACTTCGTGCGCGGCGGGTCATACAACGTATGACAAGGGGTCACAACGTGATACAACTAATAACCACACTAAAAATGTTTTTCAGACTCTCATCTTGGAGGGCTTCGACGCGCCGCGCAAACTAGCATTCTTGCTTCGCAGAGCAACGATCTCGTTGTAGGTTCACAACCTACCAGGACGCGCGCCGAGTTGGAACAGATATTCAACGAGTATCACCCGTTAAGCTTTTTGCGAGCTTGGTAAAATACTGTTACACTCTTACCACTTACTATACCTGGGGACCCCAGGCTATTGTGTTAATAAACATAATATTAATAGAGATTCGGCGGAATGACAGACTGAGCGGCGAGCGCCGCCGCCCAGTAATTGGTAATTTAAATTACACTCATGATTCGAACTTCGAAATTTTTCTAAAAGGGCCCCAGACGGTTGAATCGAGCGTGCTAAATTACTTTATATCTACAGTCGATCTTCGAGATTGTTCTAAAAGGGCCTCCAATGGTTGTAACCAACTTCAATCGATGTATTTTCGGACGCTGATTCCGAATCACCCCCCATGACATAAAGTTAAAATGCTCTCCTAACGAGATATTGGCGAAAAACTGTATCGATCACGTAATATAACCGTATAAGGAAGTTAGTCTAATTTCTCGTTAGGGTTAGGGTTTCAGCATATGTTTTTGTTAAGGATTGGGTAAGGGTTAGGGTTGGGATCAGATAAGAGGGTTAGGGTTTCGAAAAGTCGTTCAGAACCATCTAGAGAACGGATTAAAAAAGTCACGTGACAGTCGAGTGTTACTGGGCCGCGCTCAGCCTGTCATTCCGCCTAATCTCTATTCTCTATATGTTTATGAACATAATAGCCTGAGGTCCCCAGGTAAGTCGAGTGTAGAGTGATTAATCATCATCTTACTGGGCCGCGCTCAGCTTGTCATTCCGCCTAATCTCTATTCGTTGTTTACCAACATTAAAGCCTGGGTCCTCAGGTAATCATCATCCCGGTTGAATGTTGAAATCAATTTGAATCAATGTATTTTCGAACGCTGATTCCGGATCACCCAACATAACAATAACAATAACATGTGTATCACGTGGTGACCCTCACTGTCGCTTCACTATATCATATATCGTCTTCGACGATGCAGGGGGAGCCGCGCACTTCGTGCGCGGCGGGTCATACAACGTATGACAAAATAACATAGGGTTTAAATGCTCCCCTGGCAAAAAACTGTTTCAATTACGTAATAGATATGACCAAATAAGGAAGTTGGTATATTTTCTCCCACGGGCCGTTATAGAGTTTTACTATTCTTTTAGCATATGCCTTTAGCCCTGGCCTAGTTTAAGTTAGGGATTTGGTTTACCAATACATATGGCACGCGCCATACGTCGCGTGAGAAAAGCAAGATTATACTTATAGCAGTAGCAAGCTAGGTACAGATGGGCTCAGAATTGGGTAAACTTTGTAGGTAAACTTAAAGGGTTTTGAATAGTCAACGTAGAAAATGTTTGCCTCACGTTGTGTGGGCCCGCCGCGCGACCATATTGCATATCGTGGATCACGACGTGAGACAAGAGAACGTGATAAAGTAGGTCACGTGAGTCAGAGTCAAGAGTAGACTTAGAATAGAGTGATTAATCATCATCATCATCTGTATCTACAATCTAAGCCTAAAGAAAAAGTCTTGATCTAAGTATTTTTACCACCACTAGTACTTTTTCTCCGCCGGGATTATTCATGCAAACGTCACAGTTCACAGCAACAAATTTCCAGATTATCTTACTTTAATTCTATTATAGTATTACGCCAATTTTCCTATTATATTACGCCGTACAAAATGAAAACGATAACTTTATCAGTTTTTTAACAAAACGTTTATTGTATAATAAATCAAGAAGCTTGAAATAAATACGATTGCAAAGTCAACACAACAGAAGGCAACCAACGTTTCGATCCGTGAACATTCTTACTCTTAGTCCAATACCATCTAACAATTTATTTTATTGATATTAGAAAATAGTAAAATTGAACAGTGCAGATATTGAAGATAAATTTGAAGTACCGACCCATTTTTTCGACACACTATAATAAATTCTTAAATGGTGAAGCTTAAATATGAATTACCTACATTGTTGATGATGTAAATTGTAGATTATGAACCCTATCTCCGAGTATTTCACCTTCAAAACTAGATACATCACATATATTTATTTTATGAGCAACCTAAATTCAAATTAAATTTAATATATATCAACAAATTCCAGTTCTTGTTAACTGTATAACACTGTTGCGCTAAAAAACATTTAAAATATTATTGAGTGGAGTCTCTTAAAAAATTAAAAGCTTGGTCACTAAAGAGCCTTGAAAAAGTGACCCAGGAAACGTCACAACTCACAATGAACAGTAAATAGGCAGAGAACAGAATTTAAATAAACCAGATAACGATAGCTATATTAAAAGTTCCAGTATTAACCGTTTTCTATGTTCAACCCATGTATAGAACGTAAACAAAATTGCGCGTGTAAGTGTGCTACAAAATTTCCTAAGATCTGAAAATATTTTTACAAATATAACTTTAAAAACATCGTCATCATCATCAATCGTCACGCGGCTAGCTCTCGTTCCTAAGGGCGCGCGCACGTCGCTTGCACGAACAGGCTAACTTCAGAAACCTGCACGTGCTCACGACGCACCGTTGCATGGTTTGATCTGTCATATATCGCTTTCCAAGTTGTCCAACTTGGGGTTATCTAGGTCTTTAAGCAGACCCTGTAATTGTCTGTCCACGTCGTCAAACTGTGACTGAAAATTGTTTGGTGGATGCTTGTCTGCCCAGTTTAGTGTCCTTAAATTATACATAGGCAGAGAATTTGAAGTGTCTATGGGAACTTGAAACATTACAGGTTTCGGTGTTACAGTCTCAAACTGATAGTTTGCTTCTTCCGCTGAAGATTTGAGTGTGTTTTGAGTTGGTTTGTAGCTGCGCCTTTCTCGAGACTTGTCTCGGATCATCTTGACGGAGACGAAGACGACTATACAGACGACAAACACGCAGATGACGATCACGACGATTAGCCACGTTTCTATGGGGTTGTCTATCACTGTGAGAGGTGTACCTGGAAATAAATTCAGGGGTTAAAAGTGGAAATATTTTAAATGTTATGACATTATCTGTCACTGACTGTCAGAGCGACCGTTACATCGAGATTCGAGCCTTTTCTGACCACAAAATCATGATAAATCTAGGATTTGAAGATAACAAATATTTAAAGTATGCCAGGGAAGACCGCATTACCTTTACTGGTAACTTTGACAGTAGTAGAACTGGAAACGACATCGAAGTCGAAGTCGTTAGCGACCTTGTTGTTGTCAGCTGTACACGTGTACTCTCCCTCGTCGTCGTTTTGTATGTTCATTAATATTAGTGAACTGTTCTCGTCAATAGTGGCCCTAAGACAAGGCGAATGTTAATTTAAAATTAAATCGAACAATGAAAATTACAGTGACGTATTTTACCAGTGTACCTCAGTACCTAACAACTGGATTTTGGAATCTAGTTGTCTGTGTCATTTGTTAAAAAGGAAAATGAGATATGATTCAACAAAACTACTGACGAAAAATTGTCACCTATTTAAACTTTGTATCTAAATAAAACTAAAGTTTTATCTTACCTTCCGTTGGGAGGCAACGTCCCCTTGGGGCCGGTCCATTTTATCTGAGGTAGCGGCTCACCACGTGCCTTACACGTGATGGTCAGGGTAGCTCCTATTGGTACCTCGTACGTGGGCAGGGGAGGAGACTCTATCACAGCTTGATATCGTACTTTTACTTGGTGAGCAGTGGAGGTTTTACCAGCAGGGTTTCTGAGAAAAAAAGGGTTTAGTTAATAATTAAATCATTAGTTAATAATTAAATTATTAGTAAATAATTAAATTATTAGTTAATAATTTAATAATTTAAATAATTTGTATTCTTATACTCGTTAGAATATTATGAATAACTTTGTTGTGTAAATGAAGATTCAATCTAAAATCAAGTTGAGGTATAACTTACTCGGCATGACAGAAATACGTCTTAGAATCAGATCCCTGTACTTTCTTAAAAGTAAGCGTGAGTTCCCTATACGGCACCGAACTATCCGAGTCCATGGATCTCACATAATATCTCTCATTAGTTGACTGAGCTATCACAGTCTCATTTCCCTCCTTAAACCTCCAGGTAAGAACAGGGAGAGGCTTCCCTCTAGCTTCACACACAATGGAGCACTCCATGTCAGCTGTCACACTGTCACACCCCGAAACGCGTGTTACACTCGGCAGATCGTAGACCCGGACTTGAGTTACCGAGCTGTCTGAACCGAAGTCATTGCTCGCTTTGCACGTGTAGAGTCCGTCGTGCTGCGTGCTTTCAGGGTCTTGAATTATGAGGTTACTTCCGACTTTTGAAAACCCGTTTTGGTTATAAGTGTTCGTTTGAAGTCTGACTCCGTTTTTCCACCACTCGACGGTGGGGAAGGGATACCCGGAAACTTCACAAATAAGTGTGGAACGCTCTCCGGTGATTGGATATTGGAGAGAGGGGATGTTTTCTATTCGGGCCTTGCTACGAACTGTGATTATCACGTCTTTACTTCTGGAGCCCTGTAAAGGATACTAAACTTATCGTAATGGAGAGATAACGTTATCAGGTGATACAATTGAAACAATTCATGTAAAATCTAGCTAAATTGTAGATAAAGATTAAAGATGTAGAGATAAGAAAATGTAAATACCTGTCTATTAGTAACAGTACACTGATAAGCTCCGCTGTCAAATCTCGTAGCAGATGTGATTTTGAGAGTTCCGTTAGGGAAAATAACGTGATCTCTTCTAAGTGGCGCGTTGTTGTGCTTCCACTGTAGAGTGGGAGTAGGCTCACCCTGAGGAAAAGGGAGGGGTTAAGGGAGGGGTTAAAAGAGGGGTTAATGTTGAAACTACTTTATCTTAGGATATCGTGTGGTCTTTATAAATAATCTTAAAATGACCTTTTAATAAAAATTGTGCGATCATAAAGACTTAAGTAAACATCAAAATGAAACAATTCTCTCACCTCATAAAGACAGTCCAGCCAAAAACTCTCGTATTCCCTGACTTCATCATTAGGTGATATGTACGTGATAATGGGCATGACATCCACATAAAGGTACCCAGATACACTGGATTTAGCGGCAGGGTTGGACACGTTACAAGAGTACTCTCCCTGGTCTTCTGGGAGGACTGTTTTAAAGAACAGTCCGTTACCTGGGGGAGGAGAGGGGTTTTAGGCGTGGTTAATTATTGTGGTTAAATATTGTGGTGTGGTTAATTATTGAGGTTATAGGTGTGATTAATTAGGTGTGGTTAATTATTGTGGTGTTGTTTGCAAACATGTCATCACTTATTATACTTCGTAAACATTACTATGAGTCAGTTACCTATGATGCATTAGCATTTAGCAGACATGTTTTTAATTTTTATTGAAAAAGCGAGCTTACCTTTACGAGTCTCTATTCTAGGTGTACTAAAGCGAGCTTACCTTTACGAGTCTCTATTCTAGGTGTACTAAAGCGAGCTTACCTTTACGAGTCTCTATTCTAGGTGTATTAAAGTGAGCTTACCTTTACGAGTCTCTATTCTAGGTGTATTGCCCCCCTCGTAGTAGACTTTTAGCAGGGGGATACCTCTCCTATACCACTGATACGTTGCAAAATCTTTAGTGATAGCTGCGGAGAAACATGATCAATAAAACCAATTACCTATTGAAACAGATTAAATCAATTGATTTTGTGGAAGAATAACAATAGCTACACACTGTGCTTTAATTAAAAGATAAAAGAGTTGTTCTCAGTTTAGCTAATTCAAATGGTTGCCAGGAAACATAATGAAGAAAGCGTAGAAACAATTGTGAGGAGGGCGATATCGGCCACATTTTGCAGCATATAATTATAAAAACGTAACATCCAACCAAGTTCTACTGAGCGAGATAATGTAAAACAAAACAGGAGAAATTTCACACTAAGTCAAGATGTTAAAATGGAGTGCAGTCTGCAAGAAGAACTAACACTCGGAGAAAACTGGAAACAAGTCACGTGATTGGAACAGGGTATCAGCTGTTAAAGATCCCCTCAGGAAAGAGAATGTAAGAGTCCAAACTTCAATTACCATCCTCTCCAATGATCTCTGTACTTCCAGGGTGATCCTCACTAACAACATCCTCTTCAATGATCTCTACTTTTCTCAGGTCTGCAAAACCACCACCTTCTGTAACACTCGCTGTAGGGCTGGAAGTAGTATGACTAACTACCTCTTCTTGTACGGTGTCTGTAGTTCTAACATTTGCACGGCCAACCCTTGGGGCAGCATCAGTAGTGGGGGCGGTGGTGAGAGGTTCAGTGATATCAGTAGTGGGAGGAGTTTCAGTTTCAGTATCAGTATAGACATCCGTGCTTGTGGGCTCAGGAGGTTTAGTTTCCCTTTCACTTTCACTTTCGGTTACGATGGTGAGGGTATCGGTGTTAGAGTTGCCATCACCAGCGCTGTCATCAGTGGTCGTTATGATACTCGTTACAAGATCGTCCGTTGGAAAGATTTTTATAGTAGTAATGGTGCCGTTGTCTAGGGATATTTGTTGTAGGAGCTGACCCAAGTGGAAATGATCCTACCGAACCAGAACAATGATATTGATAATTAAATTAAACTAAATAAAATCTTAAAATAACTTAAATAGCACAAATAGATTAAATGTTACATGAATATCGTAAATAACTTATATCAATTCAATTAATTAAATCCAACTCACCACAGTGCAACAGCAGATTCTTTTGTCCAGCTGTGACGTTAGTTTTTGTGGGGAGGGCGTGAGTTATTGTGGGGACATTGTAAACTGTCACTTGGACCGGCTTCGAGCTGACCATGTTCTCAGAGTTTGACGCCTGAACATGATCAAGTGATTAGTGATAAGATATCTTGCAATTATGAATCAATGATAACAAGTGAAATAGAAAGTGAAAGTGAAAGAGAAAGTGAAACAATCCCCACCTGACACATGAAGCTTCCACCGTCAACAGCTTGAGCGTCCTTAATCTTAAGTCCCTGTTCTGTAAACTCATACTTATCCACGTCAGCTGAGGTGAGAGCTCGCTCGTTTCTGTACCACGTGATCACGGGTACAGGCTCGGCTGTCGCTTCACACGGCACTAGAATGTCAGAACCAGTGATGCCGACGGTGTCTTTAGGTTTGACGTTTATATAAGGAGGACCGTAAACAGAGATCTTGATGAAAATACTATCATCTCCATTCTCGTTTATTGCCTTGCACTCGTAGACGCCTGAAAAGTGAACGAGATTATGATAAATTCACGAACTTGCATACATATGAATAGAGAAATTACTTGGATTTAAATGAGCTCTAACTTTTCTAAGAATGAAAAGAAAATAGAAAATACGTTAATATCATCACTTGACTCACCATTATCGGTGATCCTGACATCTGAAATATAAATAGTGGACTCGTAGAGGTTCTCATGATGCCGTATCCTGGAATCAGAAGGCAGGGCTCTACTGTCCTTTAACCACACGATGCTAGGTGTGGGGGAACCTTGAGCTTCACACGTGAGCGTTACTTCAGTTCCTCTGCCTACACTCTTATCAACTGCTTCTGATACTATCTTAGCAGGGCCTGGAAAGATTGGAGGGTTAGATGAGTTACAAAGATCGGATAAAGTTAACTTATTTATAATTTGTGTACGTGTATTTAATTATCAGGGTTTCGGGTAATGGGGAAAAGGCAGAGATTTTACGTTGAGGGAAGTAATGATGTGTGCGGGGGAATGATGATGTGTGCGCTATTTTTTAGACTTCAGGATGAAATTTAAAAGATCTTATGTAGTAAGTGAATTATTGGAGTAGGAAGTCTGGGGAAATTTGGTTGAAAGAAAAATGACAGGTATTTTTGACCGGAGAGTATACTTGAGTTAGACCTCTAGATAGACATGGGGCAATTTAAAATGCCAAAGTTAAAACATTCCCCCCAATTCTGATGACATAAGGTGTCACTTTAAGGCGGAGCTAACAAATCTAGTCACTGACATGTGCCCAGATAATAAAATTATCAGTTACAACTACTCATTTGTTATCAGATATTGATCCCAGACGCAAATGTATCGGACTGTGATCAGTGATGCAATGTTTCAGGTTGTGTTCTGAGGTCGGCGTCCTGTCGCACCACGTTTACAATACCCTACACGGCACGCGTTGTTATTACAGTGGTGCAATGTCGTTACATTCCTTATACTGAGTAACTCATATTCAGATCATTCCCTTAGATAAGAAAGCATTAAATAATACTTCAAAAATTGAGATTTTGGAGCACCAGATGTGATGATATTACCCAGAACCGGGATAATTTTCTGGTACATTCTTTTAAGATGATCGATAGTAGCCTGAGGTGGCATCATAAAAATTACGATTCTCGGATAATCTTATACACTGCGCTATATGATCGAGGAGTGGCAGAATATATCCAAATAATTGATTCGACGCATATTTGAGTCAAAAAACAATCTGGGAGTGACAGGGAGTGATTGGTGTATGGTTTAGCAGAGAATAAAGTAAGGGCTCTTTCCGATCATTCTGTAACTTTTTAATCGCAGATATTGTGGTGATGTATATATTGGATTGTAAGAGTCGTGCTGACTGCTGGTGCTTTTGGTTAGAGAAAATGACGAAGTTAGGTACGGCTGATAAATCTAGTAAAATGGCGGCTATTGTTGTAGCATTACGAAGTTACGAGAAGCTGAAATTTCCTCCTGAATCTTCTAGAACTCTTACCAGGAACTGTTCTTACGAATTACTAAAGTATGCAGAGTATGCGATTCAAAGTTGATTGGTGGTATTCGTTGAACGTGGAAATTTCAATTAGTTTCCATTAAAGTTTGGGGAGTGGACGAGTTAGCTTAGTCTAGATTAACACCTGGTCACGTGGTTAATGTCCAATTCAGAGACATCTAATCTAATGAATTTGAGGTAGCACTTTATTTACGTCACAACTAATGGTTCTCTAGCATTCAATTGCTTAATATTTCCAAAATTGTCATTTAATTCAATATTCGATGCCATTTTGAAATTGAACCATAAAATATATGACATCGTTTCAGATTCATCTAAGTTGAAAAATGTTTAATATTTTCAGTCCGACTGAATTTCAGACGGATCAAGAAAGTTACAAAGTTAACCAAGGGGCCCTAATTCAGGTGCAAGTTGTGCCAACATCAACAGTATCCTTCCTCCCTTAGAAATTACCATGAAATCCAGGCCCAAAAATTATAATTCTCAAGGTCATTAAAGCCCAGCAATTTACAGGAAATATAATTACAGGACAAGCAATATTTAGACACGTGTCCAGAAGTTCAAAAGATTAAGGTAACGGATCTTTTAATTAGCTGCCGGCCAGCACGGCTCCCTATTCCCCGTGTGGTAATAACGCGGTTACATTGATTGGCATTATTTTACTTTGAACAAGATCTGAGTCGGCACATAAAAATAGTGGGATATATTTCAGTTTTGAAATTGAATTAAAAGTGTTTTTTCTTCGATTAAATGTTTTGCAAAAGTAATTTGCAAGATAATGAATGCACCCCATCCGAATTTTTAAAATTTACTGGACAGACAGAGACGAAGTTGCGCACAAATTCACGATAACACAAGAACACGATCAAAGAAACAAACTGACGGACGGACAGACAGACAGACTGACGGACCGGACGGACGTACTGACGATAACTTACTCTGAGGACCGTAGTCCCAGGCTCGCCTCCCAGGGGTTGCAGCTAGAGATGGGGACAGCAGGTTGTATAGACACAGATATGGGACTAGCTTTATCATAAGACGGTGAACATATCGCATTTGTGGGTTGGAGTTTAAACTGTCTTTTTGGGAATTTGATGAGAAACTTTGGGGTGGTGTAGGTCGTCTGATTTTATAAAGTGGCTTTGGTTTTCTGTGATTTGAAGGTCTTTCGGATTGAGTCTTTGGAGATAAGTTGTTTTGGTCTTTAGACTTGAGAGATATTCAGATATGTAGGACTTAGGACTTGGAGCTTAGAAAAGGCAGGGTTAGTCAATAAATAAGCAAAATAAATGAGTTTCATCAAAACACCAATGAAAAAGAAGAATTTCTTCGCAACACAACAAGAAGCCATAGATAAAACAAGCAAAAGCAATGACGATACTAAATTAACCAAAACAGCAACTTCTTACCGGTAAATGATACCATACTGCAGTGCAAACGGCACAAACTTATCAATCCCATAAAACTCGCTCAATTTAAAATGTTACCGTTGTCCTGACGACACCATAATTTAACATGAAATGAAGGTGACCTAACCAATGGATTGGAATGATAGCAATCAGGTCAAATATGCACGAAATGACACACCATGATGAGTTATAGGTAGGTTCATTATTGATGAGCTATAAGACTAAGTTTGCATTAATTAATCAACAGTTTGTCGCTTTATTGATGCGCATAGTTTAACGGTTTACGAATTATTGCAGTTTCGCAGGTGACACTGCCGGACAGGAGGCGATGTTGACGCATTTGTGGTCGTACACGTACAGTAGCATCCGTTGTAATGTCTAATAATATTAAATAGTCACAAAACTGTCGTACGAGTTGAAAAAAACAAATAATTGAAAGAGTTTAAAGTTATTTAGCGGGCCTGACAAATCATACGACTCGAAAAAACACAAAAAATGATATTGATACTGGGAATTATTTAGGAGGTACTACAAACATACTATAAATTATAAAGTCGAGTTCTTGAAGTCGGGCAAATGATCAAATACTATGAGTAAATGAAATAGGGGCGAGAAGCGTAAACAAATTTGATTAAACCGAGATTTGAGCCCAACATTCGGCCTTAAAACGACGAAAACCTCGATAATATCATTGACTGCGGAACGAATATTGGATTAACTTGTTTATTGTACAGGGGGTAAATTAATTAATTACATTAGATTTAAATAGCAGAGAAACGAGATCAGAAGTGAGGGATGTGAGTGCATACAACAGATGTCTTCAAAGCTCCCACCAAATACCATCGGCTCTGACAAATCCTTAGCGTCTCAGGCATTAACCATGAACACGTGCCAAAATCTCAGTCACGTGACACAACATCGGACCTATGATAAACCATTATCGTCATCACGTGACCTGCAGTGAAGCTCGACGAAGTTAAGCGAGGACTTTAGTGAATATAACAACCTGAGGAAGGACTCTATACTCTATAGTTTATCATTTCCTGTCGTTTGAGAGCTGGTGACACTGTAACGATCGGAGACCAGACGCGTGTCCTTGCTATTTAGTGTGAGAGATCTAGACACGACTCAAGTCACGTGATAACAAGATCAATTGTCATCTGATATCAAGATGAATTGTTGGGTGATGATACAATATATATGTCATGGAACCCTTACAATTCCTAGGGACAAACTTCAATATCCACAGCACATAATGAGGTATTAAAAAGCAGTAAGCACGATTGAACACTAACAGGAAGCATGTTTTGGATAAACTCTAACTAATGGCACTATATTTCACTATATTTCACTGTATTTCACTATATTTCACTATATAACATAATATTGGGCCTGTCTAACCCCTGTTAGCTATGTGAATACCAGGTATTGTAGCTCGTGTCAGCGACCTTTAACTGCAGGATGTTAATAGGACTCGGCTTTTTATAGTGGCTAACATTTCCTGTTTGGGGGTGTAAAACGGGACATAACGGCCCTTAATGAGACATTTAATGGGACATTGAGTGTCGGTGCATTTATAGCATGCCATAAATAACCAATATGTAATATGTAATATGTGTTAAGATGGGGAAGGGACCGGGGTTTGATGACAAAATACCTAGTCGTAGTGCAGTACAAAAAATAAGAATTACTATTGTCATTAAGTTGACTTATATATAAAGCGATAATTTGGAGCTATTAGCTTTTCAGTGATTGTGGTGAGCCACGCTAAATCAAAGTAGAGAAATTAGAATATGACAAAAAATAAAATAAAAACTCACATACTAAAGTCAATGAAAAAGATATCAAAATAATGTTAAGACAAAGTTGACGACCTAATGGCATATTCATTTAATGACTTATGGCCACAAATATTGTCTAAATATTTGTCGCTATAATTGGAACGCAAATCACTGACTTATATTAACGTGTTGGACCGGGAAAGTGATAATTGCAAGCCATTAAAGTACCAATATTTGAATTGTAGCGATTAGCTGAAAATCCTGGTGCCTGGTGACTAGCAACCCAAACTCATTGTAAGTCAATTAGAATTGGGCTTAAGATACAAAATCATAAACCCACAAACAAAATTTATCAAAATAACGCGGTCAACCCGAAAAAAGCATTAAATCGTGGCAATATATCCCTGTTTTCTGTTTTCTGTTTTCTGTTTTCTGAATATTCATCATATTATTCGAACAAACCAAAAATTATTATTATTTATATATGTTAGACTAAACTTAACGCGACGAACGGACAAAGCTATAGCAGTGAGCTCCATTAATATTTCGGTAACATTGTGGCGAATCGCTGTACCAGCTTCCTCCAGACACAACAACCGCAAACTCATTGAAAGTCCATCAGCATTGGGCAAGAACATACA